CAAGTCTGCCGCGTACACATCAGCTGTATAGCGTTAAGTTAAGCGCTGTTGTCATGTTGTGATGAATCTCCACAATATTAATACTCGCTGTATTTTGAAAACTGTTAATCTTACGCCCCTGCAATATACAACTTTTTTGTTCATTTATGATTATTTTATCTCATGCTGAAGTAATGACAGTCAAACTTTTTACACGCAGTATTTTTTCATTTATTCATTTTGCTCACTGTTTAGCGTAGACACCGACTTCGAATTGCATGTCAAAGTAAGAAATAACCCGTTTCTGCAGCACAATCAAGTGAATACAGTAAAAGGGAAAATTACGTGGTAACAAGTCGCTAGTACCTCCTAGATCTTAGTTAAAGCGAGGCATTTTATCTATTAACCGCGTATTTATTAGCCAATTTCACGTCTATCTAAACCCAATTTGCTGTCTTCTCACGGCTAATAGAGTGGAAAACATGTGCTGTTCCGCTGCGTAACAAGATTGTCTTGCCGGAGCCAGCCCAGGCTGCTGGGGATTCCGGGACGTCAGGCGATACATCAAGTAAGTCCCGGCGAGGGAGCGGCGTCACGTACACATCAAAAGTTTACCGCTGGATGTGTGACATGATACGGGGAGCACCTGGGAGTTTATCCCGCACTTGGCGACCGGGCGTTGCCTGTATTCCTGGGACGTCGCGTCCCGCTGTGGGAGTTGTTTGATGCCGCGTGTAATTGAAAAGTATCGATGCTTTTACGGCGTTACGCCAGAAATATGGAACGTGTTGCGTTGGGTATTAGCTGGCGGTGACGCGGCGCTTGGGGGAGGGTAGGTGTTAGACGAGCGGCCACGCCGATAATTCAGCCCCACAAAAAAAATTGAACTTATTTTCTCCGATATCTGAGGAGGTGCACGTTATGTTTTTGGGGTTGCTTAATCCGAATCCGGGGTCCGTTTATCCCCATCACGTCAGGGTCAAGGGCATCTGAAGGTCAAATTGCGGAATGACTATTAAAAAATCTGGAAAAATTTATATATATGTTTTCGGGGTCGCTAAATCTGAATCTGGGGTTCTCTTGACATTGAAGTGTCATAATCAAGGTCAAATAAAGGTCAAAACCCTAAAATTTGATGATATGATATTTTTGACCCTGGATTCCGAAAGAGCAGAAAATTTTACATCCGAATACGTATTTACCACAAACATAACAGAAATGATATGGGGTTTTTGGGTTGTCATGCTCATGTCTATGGGTTCTACTACTTGTAGCTTTATACTCTGGTGAGGCCAAGGTAGCCACCTCAACAGAGCCGCGGTCACTGGATGACGACGCCTGCGGGCCCGCTTTCCCACCCTGACCAGCCGCCGATACTGGGGTTCCATCCCCCTGCATCGTAAATTTCTCCGTTGTGTTTGCCATGACGGCATACGCGTCCTGTTCCAGGGACTTTGCCGGATAGCGGGACAACTCCGT